CCCCCACGGGCATGGCCACGCTGGCCCAGGCTGATGCTGGGAGCCAGGGACTTGATGCAGGTCCCCCACGGGCATGGCCACGCTGGCCCAGGCTGATGCTGGGAGCCAGGGACTTGATGCAGGTCCCCCACGGGCATGGCCACGCTGGCCCAGGCTGATGCTGGGAACCAGGGACTTGATGCAGGTCCCCCACGGGCATGGCCACGCTGGCCCAGGCTGATGCTGGGAGCCAGGGACTTGATGCAGGTCCCCCACGGGCATGGCCACGCTGGCCCAGGCTGATGCTGGGAGCCAGGGACTTGATGCAGGTCCCCCACGGGCATGGCCACGCTGGCCCAGGCTGACGCTGGGAGCCAGGGACTTGATCCAGGTCCCCCACGGGCATCGCTCAGGCACAATCACTCCAGCCATCACAGGTTTCCTCCCGGAGTCTACATTCCAGCAGGAACCTGGATCAGGGATGAAAGGATGATTCAGGACCCCAAATTCCTGAAATCTGCGGTGTGCGCCTCACGTGCGGCAGCTGGCCTGCTAGGCCAACGCCCACCCCCTGTGTCTACTCTCTCTGTGTCTCACTCTCTCACCTCTCTCTCTCTTGCTTTTTTGCAGTCAACAAAGTTTTCTAAGCATGTAGCTCTTGACCTTCAAACTTCTCACATAGGCTGGGACATACACATCCAGTCAGGGTTTTCCAAATGAGGTCACTCACAAAACTGGGGACAAAAACCTGTATGAAACATGTAAAAGTGTAGTTTTATGTCATCAATGTTGACAGACCAAGTGACCTCACTAAAGTAAAAGGAATTAACATTTTTCTGCTGCTTAAGGGAAGGTATCTTCATACTATAAAAGCATGTGAAAGAAGTGGCTATAAATTAGCCTAATAGCTAAGGGAGCCACACTCATGATTGAGTACCTGAGTATCCTTCCTGGCTCCAGATTTTGATTCCAGCTTCCTGCCAAATGAGATCCTGGAGGGTGACAGGTTTATAACTGGGTAACTTCCACCCTGTGGACAGCATGGAATTGTTCCTGCTTCCCTTCAATCTCCAGCCCAGATCCAGCTAGTATCTAGAAACTAAACTTGTGCATGGAGTTGGCCCTGTATCTCTCTCTCTACTTTCCAAATAAGTAAAAGTTACAAACCAAAAGCGTCTACAGCAACATAATAAAATAACCAAATTCAACATGGACAGGGTCACTCAGTATATAGTGTTTCCGCTTGGGCAGTGGAAAGTTCCAGAAATAAATCATGATGATGACTGCACAACATTATAAGCACAGTTGCAGCAATGAATTATGTAATTAAAAGCAGTTAAAATGCCATAAAAGGTGCCAAAATTTACTTTCTTATGTCATCAATTAATACACTATTCTTAGTGTTTACTGAAATAACTGGAAGACTTACAACACGGGAAGAAAGAATTTTGATTTAACACAAATATTTTAACTTACCTAATCACTACTGAGTTATTCTGACAGGTGTATGTATGGTTTTCTATACTTAATCTCTCAGTTCACTTGGAATCAGAAACTTTAAAAATTAAGAAGGAAACAACAAATTACCATGGTCAGAACTTGGTATAACAAGAGGGGCTGACTCGATGGCTGCGTTGGCTAATCTTCCACTTGCAAGCATGGCATTCCACATGGATTCATGTTCCGGCTTCTCCACTTCCGAACTAGCTCAACGCTTGCGGCCTTGCAAAGTGAGTAGAGCTGGCCCAAGTTGTTGGGACCCTGCACCCGTGGGGGAGACCCAGAAGAATCTCCTGGCTCCTGGGTTTGAATTGACTCAGCTCAAGCCACTGTAGCCATTGGGGAATGAACTGGGGTCGGATTAGCTTTGTCTCTCCTTCTCTTTGCAAATATGTCTTCCAATGAAAATCAATGTATCTTTTACAGAGAAGTTCATACCAGATTAGCTTCTATGAGTTTAGGTGAAACTGTACATGACAGAACTACCTGTTTCCTGCGGCTGAAGAGGCGTGAGCGGCCACGGGGTGTTAGTCTGGACGCCGCAGGCTCGGGAACACCGCAGCAAGGACCAGCCCGCACTGCTCGGCCGAGACCTCGCGGCCGCGCCTTGCTGCATTTGCCACGTGGCGGATGAGACCCCTTGGTTTCTTTTGTATGGGCACTGATCGAAGGAATGAGAGCGCAACTCTGACGTCATCAACTCCCAAGGCAACTCCTGCAGCCGTGCCTGCGAAGTCAGGATTTCAGCGGACAAGCAGCCTTGGTGCAGCACAAGACTCCAACACGAGCAGGCAGCAGCGTGAGCGCACACACGCGAACATTCCGTGTCCATTGTACCACAGACTCATCAGTCTCCCTCGTCACTTTCCTCCTCTTTCTGCCTTCCTGAAAGTTGAAGTTAAATTGGTGGTTTCTGTCTGCAGTCACAATAACAGCATTTCAACTAATTACATTCTAATTAAATACTGTTTGCTTACTCTGAGTTCTCCTATGTAAAATCAGAACCAACTGAATGAAAGCTGGAATACTGAGGCTAATCACAGAGAATCTGCCTCAGGCACAAGTAAGTCCAGAATAAACATTATACAGAAAACAAAGGGTAGCATTTCCCACCTTCACTGATGAAAGCAGTCTAAACTGAGACTGTGTTAATAATTGCGCAACTGTTACAAATGTGCTAAAATCAACTGAAGGACACATTTGAGGCTTGTCTCAGTGAAGTTGTTCACATTGTTTTTCAGGGCTGGTAAAGTGGTGCAGTGGGTTAAGCCGCCTCTTACAACATACGAGTAATGTGCAGTATCAGTAAAATGTATGCCTGTAATATATTAAGTTTAAAAAAGAAATTAAAATCTTTAAAGTTTTTAAAGAGAAAAGTTTTTTAAAAGACTCAAAAGTTTTTTAAAAACCTTCAAAAAAGAAACTCAAAACTTCAAAAAGTTTTAAGAGACAAAAGATTTTAAAGTTTTTTAAAAGACTCAAAAGTACCTGACCCCCGGCAGAATGGCGGCCGGGGTCCCAAGCCCAACCAAGCTCGTCTCCTGGGAAGCAACCAGCAGCCTTCACGCCCACTCGGAAGACTGCTTCGGGCGGCCAGTGCGCCAGTTGGCACCAGGCTTTGCCTGCTGGCCGCCCGGCCAGGGAGCCCTGAGAAATTGGTTCTCTGTATGCTGCTCAAGACAGCTTCATGCTGAATCTGCAGTGTTTTGGGGACACCAAGCAACCCTAAAGATTTCCAATATCTGTAAATCTTCCTCAGACGAATCTGCTGCTATTATGGTTTCACCCCCTATGTTCCGAATGATTGTAACTCCCAATATAATGCCAATTCCTTACGATACACAGTAACTGGGTGGGAACACAGAGAAATCTCTCATTTCCCTTGAAAAAGCTAGGAATCCACGTAGTTTAACCTGCGGGAACTGGATAAGTATCTTAAAGTTGATAGATCCAGATCAGCATTAGACAATAGCAAAAGTTATAATGACACACAGGGGGAATTAGGTACGACCCAAACAGTCTATTAACAGGTGGTCATATGCACAGAATAGGGGAGAACCCCAGAGCGGAACAGAGGGACGGGAGGAGGCTTATCCCCCACCCATAAGGACTCCCGGACTCCCACCAAGGTCGATCAGAACGGACACAAGAACGTCAACGCAAATTCCAAAGAGAACACGGGGATCTGGAATGCCTCCGGATGCTGTGAACCCAGAGGACAGACATCCCCCCTCTTTGGATAAACTACACGAGATGGAAGAAGCCCGAGTCCTTCCACATAGGAACCAACGACATCAGAACAACAACTAGGAACCACGATCGGTCATCAGAACCAGAAGATCAATAACCTTCCAGTGGGACAATGGGAGAGGAGCCTTCTCCAGTCCTTACCTAGTTCCAGCTCTGGGCCTACGCCCTCTATAATGACTAACATGGTCCATCCTAAGCCCCCTGCCCCCCTTCACACACACACACACACACACACACACACACTCATATACACACACTAATAGGATGAGATAAGCAAAGAACAATAAAGATAAGTCATCAAGGACTCACACATGTCCTATTAGATGGAACATAAAGAACAAGATACCATCAGCAAGGTATGAGAGATTTCTCTGCAACACCCCCCAAACTCGTTGCACACCTCAATTGAGGAGGTGACATTGAAATAGTTGTAGAAGGTAATCAAGAACTTACATGTAATTTTAACATATTGTCTACTCAATACTACGTCAGACATCTAATGTTTGCCTTGATTTAACCTGTAATTTATGCTTGGTTGATTGTTACTTTTTGAACCTGTCACTGATACTGTCTCAACCCAGAGGTGTGGAAGAATTGAACTTTTTTTTTTTTTTAACATATTGTTCACTCAATACTATACCAATTAATCCCATAACATTGTATATTGATGCTGAGGTTTTTGTTGGGGCTTTTAACTGACCGGATCTTTACTCTGTTAGACCTATCTTCAGACCAGAGAAGGTCTCCCCAAGAGGCCACTGAACTTATCTGGACAATAAGACGCTGAACTTTATGCTAGGCATGTGTTTGCAAGGAATGAATCTCAACTGAACTTGAACTATGGTTATGCAACAAGGTGGAGGAATCCACCATGGGGGGAAGGGTGGGGGGAATCCCCAGTGCCCATAAAACTGTATCACATAATACAATGTTAACAACAATAATAAAAAAAGACTCAAAAGTATAAAAAGTTTTTTAAAGAGACTAAAAAGTCACAAAAAGTCATAAAAACCTCAAAAGTTTTAAAAGTTTATAAAGCGACTAAAAAACTTAGAGAAGAAACTCAAAACTTTAACAAAGTTCAAAGAAAAGACTACAAGGACATGAGAAGTTCTAGAACATCACAGAAGGCTGCAGAACGTTCCGGAAGGGGAAGGAAAGAAGGGACAGAAGGTGGGCGGGGCCTGGGCTCATGAATATTCATGAGGGGAGGGCAGAGGATGTCGTCACCGGGAGCAGGAAGAATTGACGAACATTCGTTCGCTCAGTCACGGATTCAAGGAAACGTTTTATTGATTTTACTATTTTGATGAAAAAAAGGGACACGCGGTGCGGGGGAGGGTGGTAATGTCACACGGGGGTGACGTCACAGGTCTACAATGACGTCATCACATGGTGGGTTGCTGCGGTGAGGTCACATGACCAAAGGGACGACGTCAGGTGCTGACGGTGATGATGTAATCACATCAGGATGACATCACGGGATACCGGGGATAATGTTACGTCTGGGGACGATGTTCCATGTCGAGGGTGATGATGTCATCACTTTGTGGCTCACGGTGACGTACAGGCTGGGGATGACGTCATCAGGGCCGGCCTGTGGGGATGGTGTAATAGGCCATTGATGACATCACCAGGGTAAGACCCGCAGTGATGATGTCACACGTTGGTGATGACGTCGCAGGCCTGGGAATGACGCCACCAGGAGGCTGCTCCCAGGGATGGCGTCACATGTTGACGGTGATGATGTCATCACTTTCTGGTTCACGGAGACGAAGTCACAGGCTCGGGGATGACGTCAGGGAGGCGAGGGTGACGTCATCGGGGAGGCACATGGTTGTGGCCTCATGGGGTCACGGTGATGTCATCAGGGGGCGGCCCGCGCGGCCCTGGCAAAGCCGTACGCGTCTCCGGCGGCGACGTAGGCTGACTCAGGGAAGAAGTCGTCGCGGAATTCGGCGAGAAACCTGCGGGGGCAGGACATGCAGATGAGGTGCTAATCAGATGCAGATGAGGGAGGAGAGGGATGCGGAGCAAGATGCAAATGAGGGGCTGAGCAGATGCTAATGAGATGCGAGGCAGACACCAAGTGAGATATACAGATGAGATGCTAATCAGATGGAAAAGAGGCATGAAACATGCAGAGATGCAAATGAGACAGTCAAAAGATGCAAACAAGATGCAAAGCATGAAGATGAGCTGGTGGAAGAGATGGAAAGTGGGAAGCAAACGAGATGCTAACCAGATGCAAACGAGGCCTGGACCAGATGCAGAGCGACATGCAAATGAGGCGCTGAACAGATGCTAATGAGATGCAAAGTAGAACGCAAACTGGTTGCTAACTGAATGTGAATGAGATGCTAAGAAGATGCAAATGAGATGGTAGGCGGTTGCGGATGAGCTGCTGGACAAATGCAAATCAGATGCTAAACAGACATTCATGAGAAGCCAGACAGGTGCAAAGCAGGATATGCAGATGAGATGCTAAGTGGATGCAAATGGGACACTAAACAGATGTAAAGCAGGATAAAAATGAGACAGTAAGCAGATGCAAACGAGGAGAGGCTCACAGAGACGCAAACTAGGTGATGAGATGCAGGTGGGCATGCAAATCAGATGCAAAGCAACAGCCGCAACAGATTGCATCATGCATATTAATGACCAATGTGCATATTGACGAGGCTCATACTAAAGACCTCCACGCACGTTACCACTCCTCATGCATATTAATGAGGATCACATCAATGAGCTCGATGCATATTAATGACCTGCATACACGTCAATGACCATCACGCATTTTAATGAGGCTCGTGCGTGTTCATGAGCCGCATGCATATTGATGACACTCATGAATGTCTACGATCCTGTGCATATTAATGAGTTCCATGCATATTGATGATGCCATGCATATCAAGGATCCATGTGATACTAATGAGGCATACATATTAACGACCTTCATGCATATTAATGAGCCTCACACATACTAACGAGCATGTCACCTCAGGAAGAGCTCCAGGTGTCGCTGCAGCGCCTTCAGGTTCTTCTCCGGGAACGACATCCGACCCAGGAGCTCGGGCAGCTTCACTGCGGGGTCAGGGGTCAGGGGGTCAGTAGGGGTCACAGAGTCCCTCAGGGGTCACGAGAGTCAAGGGTAACGAGGTCCAGCTGAGGATGTCAAGTCAGCGTCATGAGGTCACCCGGGGGTCCCAGAGGTCAAGGGTCAGAGGTCACAGGGTCGGTCAAGGTCACAGAGTTGGACAGGATCACACAGGCACCCGGGGATCACAGAAGTGTGAGGCATCACGCAGGAGGTCAGGGGTCGCAAGGTCAGTCAGGGTCAGAGGGTCAGGGGTCATAGGCTTGGGGGCAGTCGTGGGTCACAGGGTCAACATGGCGTCACAGGGACAGTTGGGGGTCACAGGGTCGACAGGGGCTCATGGGGCCATCAGGGGGTCAGGGGTCGTGGGGTCACTCACCGAAGAGCCGCAGGAGGTGCTGGGCGCCGTAGAGCGAGGACGGCGGGGGCGGCCGGTCGGGCGGTGGGTAGTGGTCAGGGACCAGCTTCCAGGAGAGGACCTGGGGGGGGGGGGCCGTGATGATGTCAGGGGCGTGGCCGGGCCGTGATGACGTCAGGGGCGGGGTCGAGGCCAGTATTCGACCAAGTGATCGTTTGTTCAAGGACAAGTCCACCGAACGACCATTTGTTGACTGATGCTTCGACCAAATGTTTGTCGACTGATTATTTGACTGTTTGTTGACTGACATTCAAGCTAATGACTGTTTACCGGCTGACTTTTCGACTAAATGACTGTTTGTTGACCGACTGTTAGACCGTTTGTCAACAAAATGTTTGACCAAATCACTATTTATTGACTGGGTATTCAACCGACCGTTTGTTGACTGGCTGTTCTGACCGACTGTCGATTCAATTAAATGATTGTTTACCGACCGACTCTTCAACCAAAGGTTTGGCAATGGGCGACTTGACCAAACGAGCATTTGTCGACAGACGATTCAACCGACCATTTGTCGATTGACTATTTCACTGTTTTTCCACCAACATTCAACAGACTGTTTGTCAACTGACTATTCAACTGGTTATTTATTGCCTATTTGAACGACTGTGACCGACTATTAACTGGCTATTTCACTGTTTGTTGACCGACTATCCGACTGTTCATCAACCAACCATTAGACCACTCGTTTGTCCGACCGCCCCTCTGCCCGCGCGCCGCTCACCTCGTTGATCTCGTTGGTGCGCCGCCCCTCGAGCCCGGGCGCGGGCGGCAGCAGGACGGGCGACGACGACCGGCTGGGAGGGGCCTGGGGCGGCTCTGTGGGGGAAGGGAAGTGACATCATCACCGCCAGGAGAGGCGCCTGGCTCCGCCCACCCGGGAGTGACCCCGCCCCTGTGGCAGCCCCGCCCCTGGGAAGTGACGTCACAGCCACCAAAAGCTTCTGGAACGTTCCCCAGACGGAAACGAAAAACAAAAAAACATCCTTGCAGAATATTCTGTGGGTGTGAGCGTGACCCCGGGGTGACCCCGACCTCCGCTTGGCCCCACCCCCAACCCCACCTCTCCCAGGCCCCGCTCCTTAGGCCCCGCCCTCCCAGGCCCCGCCCACTCACTTGCCGACCGCCGTCGCTCTCCGTGCCGGGCCGAGCGTCGCAGCGCGCACGCCGGGAGCCCCGCCCCTCCTGGTGGCTCCGCCTCCACCCGCCGGCGCTTGGAGGGGGGCGTGGCCTCGGGCGGTCCGGGGGGAGGGGGAGGAGGAGGGGGCGGGGCCTCGGGTGGTGTGGGCGGGGCCGGCGGCGGAGGGGGGGGCGGGGACGGTGCCTCGGGCCTGCGGGGGAGAGAGAGGGGCAGAGGTCAGGGGTCAGGGGTTCAGAGCAGGGGTCAGGGAGGTCAGGGGTCAGTCAGGTCAGGGAGGTCAGAACAGGGGAGGTGAGAAGGTGAGAGGTCAGGGGTTGGGGCTCAGGGAGGGGTTCCAAGAATAGGAGAGAAACTTCCGGAAAAATGAGAAAACAATCTGAAAAATGGGGGAAAAAAAGCAAGTTCCAGAAAACAGGAGAAAGTTCTGGAAAACTGTGAGAAAATTAGAAACATGTGAGACAGAGTGAGAAACATGGGAATAAAGTGTGGAAATCCCAGGACAGAGCGTGAGAAACACGGGAGAAAATTCTAGAAAATCCCAGTAAAATGGGAGACAATTACAGAAATTTCCAGAAAATGTAAGAAAAGTCAGAAAAATGAGGAAAAAAAAAGAAACAAAATGTGAGAAAAACAGGGGAAACATACAGGAAAGTGTGACAAAACCCGAACAAGTTCCAGAAAATTCCAGAAAAATACAGAAAATGGGAGAAAATCCCCAAATAATGGGGATGAAATGAAGATAAAAAGGACAAAATGTGAGAAAGATAGGAGAAACTTACAGAAAAATGTGACAAACCCCGAAAAAATGGGAGAAAATTCCAGAAAACTGGAATCAAACTCCATAAGCTGTGTGAAAAAATTCCACAAAAATGGGAGAACTGCAGATCGTAGAAAACATGACAAAAAGTCAAAACATGGGAGAAAATTCTGGCCCCTAAGCCCCGCCCCCAAACCTGGCCCTGCCCCTGACGCCACTCACCGGGCCGACGTGGCCCTCCTGAACTGCGCCTGCTCCGCCGGGTAGAGCAGCAGCAGCGGGAGCGCGTGGTCGAAGGCGACACGGAGCCCGTCCGCCATCTCCTTGCAGAGATCCACACTGCGGGCCGGGGAGAGACGAGAGACACGGGGAGAGATGAGAGATGGGGAGAGACGAGAGACGGGGAGAGACGTTAGACGGGGAGAGACGAGAGACGGGGAGAGACGAGAGACACGGGGAGAGACATGGGGAGAGACGAGAGACGGGGAGAGACGGGGAGACGAAAGACGGGGAGAGACAGGGGGAGAGGGACATGTGATGTTCTAGAAGCCGGAAGGTGGAGAGACCGCGGGAACGTTCTGGAAGGTTCCCCACAAACTTCTAGAAGGTTGCCAGGAAGGAACCAAATAATTGCCAGAAGGTTCAAGAATGTTCCGGAAGTTTTCTAACAAACTTCTAGACGGTTCCGGGGAACAAAGTAGAAAACACTGCCAGAATGTTCCGGAAGGTCGGTAACAAAGTTCCATAAGGTTCACAGGAAGGAGAGCAAAAAGCTGACAGAATGTTCTGGTAGGTTCCTCGCAAACTTCTAGAAGGTTTCCGAGAAAAGGCTGAGAAACCACAAGACTGTTCCGGAAGGTTCCTCTGAATATTCTAGAAGGTTCCCAGGAAACAACCCAGAAACTCAAAAGAATGTTCCGCAAGGTTCCAGAAGGTTCTTCAGAAACTTCTAGAAGATTCCCAGGAAAAAGGCTGAAAAACCACCAGAACAGTCCAGAAGATTCCAATCCAAAATTCTAGAAAGTTCCCAAGAAGGAACAAAAAAAGGAGAGAACGTTCAAGTAGCTTCTCCACAAACTTCTAGAACATTCCCAGGAAACAAGGCAGATGAACCACCAGAATGTTCTAGAAGGTTTGCTCAATAGCCTAGAAGGTTCCCAGGAAGGGACATAGAAACTGAAAGAAAGCTCCGGAAGGCTCCCCAGAAACTTCTAGAAGGTTCCCAGGAAGGAACGGAAAAATTGCCGGAAGACTCCGGAATTGTCCAGAAGATTCCTAACAAACTTGCAGAAGCTTCCGAGGAAAGAGAGCCACAGGAGGCCCCGCCCACCCCGGGAAGCCCCACCTCATCCCAGGAAGCCACGCCCACCCCATTAGGCCCCGCCCACACAACTCACTTCCTCTCAGCAGGGACGCCGCCGCCTCCGGCTCCTCCTCCAGCTCCGCCCACTCCTCCGGCTCCGCCAGCTCCTCCGGCCCCGCCCCCGACGCAGGCCCCGCCCCCCGAGGCTCCGCCCCCACCCACCGAGGCCCCGCCCGCCATGGCAACGGCGACGGCCCCGCCGGGTCCCTGCGCCTGGGCCGGGCCGACCCCGTGGTGCGGCGGGCGCACGCGCTCGTGGGCTGCGAAGGCCGCGTTCAGCGCGAAGTGCTTCACGTACGACTCGAGGATCGCCACCACCGACGGCGCGCGCGGCAGGCGCACGAGCTGGGGGTCACGGGGTCACAAGGCAGAGATGAGATCACGGGGTCAGAGACGGGGTCACGGGTCAGACAGTGTCACGGGGCAGATGGGGTCGGGGTCACGGGGTCAGACATAGGGTCACGGGGGCCAAGACGGGGTCGGGGGTTGAAAAACATGGGGTTACGATCAGACACAGGGTCAAGGGGTCACAGACACAGGACAGGGTCATGCAGGGTCATGGGGTTAGACACAAGGTGATAGGGTCACGGGGTCACAGAAACGGGGTCAAGTTTTTGCAGTTAAACACAGGGTCAGACACAGGGTCACGGGGTGCAAGGTCAGACACGGGGTTGGGGGTCACGGGGTCAGACACAGGGTCACATGGTAACAGGGTCACAGACACGGGGTCCAGGGTTCAGAAACAGGTCCGTGAGGTGACACACACGGGGTCACGGGGTCACAAGGAGGTGGCAGGTCACAGAGTCACCATCACGAGGTCGCGGGGTCACACAGAGGTCACCAGGTCACGGAGTCATCATGGGGTCATTGGGTCACGTGGAGGTCACAGGTCACAGAGTCACCATCACATCGCACAGAGGTCGTGAGGTCACGGAGTCATCACGGGGTCACAGGGAGGAGGCAGGTCACAGTCACCATCATGAGGTCATGGGGTCACACAGAGGTCGCCGGGTTACCACGGGGTCACACGGAAAGAGAAACCGGGAAACGTGAGCATTGGGTCTACTTTTTTTTCTCGTCTATTTTTATTTTCTTTAGCCTTTTCGGGTTTTCACTCTCAGACGAAGTTTGTAAAAAAGGGAAAATTGATAATTTTTATTGATTATTGTGGATTGATGCATCGATTCTTAGACATTTATGTCCATTTTTTGTAATTTAACATTTTTTTAAAAAATCCATTTTAACCAAAACATGATTTTTTATGCATTTTTTCACAGGTTTATTTGCAGATGATTCTGCGTTTATTTGTATTATCTATATTTATTCATTTTATATTCACTGTTGTTTATTTTTTATTATTTCTTATGATCATTTCCTTACTCTCCAACTGTAATTGCTCTAAATATGCAAATAAGCGTCTCATAATCGATCGTCTTTCTGCAAAACATTGATTTTTTTTCCCAATACTTTGTAGATTATTATCGATGATTCCCAATTTTATAACTAAATCATATGATTTTTCTCTAAAAACCCAAGTTTTCCTGAGGTTAAAAACACAATGATGCTGCTGGCCCCGCCCACCACCTAAGCCCCGCCCACACCCCCAGTGCCCTCACACAGCCCCACCCATCCTGAGGCCCCGCCCCTCGCCCAGCCCCTGCTCTCGAAGCCCCGCCCCTCCCAGGTCCCGCCCACTCTCTCAAAGCCCCGCCCCTCCCAGGCCCCGCCCACTGACCCGCTTGCGCCGGTTGACCAGGAAGCAGTCGTCCTCTAGCTGCTTCTTGAGCGACTCGGGGATGTCGAGGCTCACGGGGCGCTCGTCCATGACGTCACGGGGTCGCAGGGTCACACCGACAGGGTCACGGGGTCGCAGGATCCCACAGATGAGGTCACTGGGCGGTGACGTCACCAGCGATGATGTCACTGGGCGAAGACATCACCAGCGATGAGGTCACCGGGGCATGATGTCGCCATGGAGGACGTCACTGGGTTGTGAAGTCACAGAGCGATGACGTCACTGCGCGGTGATGCCACACCCTGATGAGGTCACCGGGCGAATCTATCACAGAAGAAATAATTTGTATTTCTTTAATATTAACAACAATTAACATTCTTTCTCAAGACTCGAAGCCAATCATCAGCGATGAATACGATTAAGCTCAATACGATTAATATACGATCAATATTTCCTCCTCATTGATATTCAGAGTCGTGGGAGATTAAGACTTATTCTTCCTCTTATTCCCGGAGTTTTCCTTAATATCTATTTAGTATATTCTCCTCAATATTCCGTGACTCGTGCGATTAATCACTTTCTTCTTTAATAACTGATCGCGAACAGGATTATCTCGTCTTGTGTTCCACATGATCAAGTAACACTTCATAACATATTTGGTTGCGAACATTGATTATTAGTCGAACATCAGGACTCAAGACGATTAATTTTTTCCTCGCTAATATTCATGTTTTCATGGGATTAATACATCTTCTTTCTTGATATTTCTGCAATTTTTCCTTACATCCGATCGAGAACGTGGATTATTTGCATTCCATTTTAATCAATTTAATCAATCTTAGTGTATTCATTAGTCTCACTAACTTGAATAGCGATGACGTCGCCGCTCGCCCGTCCCGATCGTGAATCTTCAATCAGTCGTCAATTATTAAATAGTAGCAAATCGCCCCTCATTCGGGTTGATTATTGAATAATCAGAAATTAGAATGCATGGGTTATTAAATAATCAAATCATCGCTCCTTAGGATTCGATAATTAAATGCTCAAAAATTAGGATTTATCAATTATTCATCAGAAGTCATCCCTCATTTGGAGTCATTCTTGGTTTAAAACTGCAAATCGGTTACTGAATAATAAACAATTATTTAAGTTATTTAATAATCAGTTAAATAATTTAAAATAAAAAAGACAAAGACTTAAAACTTTCACATAATTTATAAAAACAATGAATAAAAATTAATTTAATAAACTATACAAATAATTAAATGAGTGAATAATTATTTTAACGATTTAATAATACCGTTAATTAGATCAATGAAAATATCAATAAGATCAATTAAAATGTCAATTAAATCAAGTAAAACAAAATTAAATCAATAAAATAACAATTAAATCAATATAAATTAAATCAATAAAAACGTCAATTAAACCAAAAAATACAACTAAGTCAATGACAAATTATATAAAATAAAAGCGTTTGAAAATCAAATCAATAAAAACAAAGTTAAATCAAAAACATAAAAATTGGATCAAAACTCTAATTGGATAGAAATGTGAATATTTCTTCATGAAGAATTAATAAATGCAAAACCATTCAAAGAGGAAGAGAAAAATGTGAATTAAATGAAGAAAAATACGAACGAAACACATAATGCTCTTAATCAATTTATTTTTAAGAATAAATGTAGAAAGATCATCTTTTATATTAATTAATACATGAGACTTCTATTTTATTATTTCTCTTATTTCATACTGATTATATTATTTCTATTTCGTTGCTTTATCATCTTATTTATTATATTCTATATTACTATACATATTACATAAATTACAACATGTAAGTATAAGAAAATATACAGATACAATATGTATTTATTATAAGCATTAACACATCACAGGAAAAATAATCATTAAACACAAAAAATATACATTGAATCAATACTAAATTAAATCAATAAAAACACACATTAAATCAAAGAAAATATCAATTCGATTAAAAAAACCAGGAAATCCATAAAAATAGGAAATGAATTTATAAAAAAACAGGCAGATCAATAAAAATATCGATTAAACCAATAAAAACAAAAATAAAATCACTAAAACAAAATGGAAATCAATGAAAATATAAATAAAATCAACAAACATAAACATGAAATCCACAAAAACAGGAATTAGATTTTAATGGAGAATTCCTAAATGCGAAACCTTTTAAACAAGAGGAAACTATATATTAATAAATCTATTGAATAAATGACAGAAATATCCCCTTTTATATTAAGTAATAAAATAAAGATTAAATATATGAATCTTGTATATTATTTTCTTTTATTTATATTATATTTCATTATTTATATTACATTATTTTATCATCTTTTATCCTAATAATGAATTTGAGTCTTTTTTATTAGACTTTATTGATCTTTATTTTATCTCTATATTTTATTTATTTCTATTTTATTGATTTCTGATTACTTTATCATCTTAATTATATTCTACTACATATTTTAAATTAATTTATTACATTAGTTATACATTTATAATGTATATGAATTACATACACTTATATCTTAATGTATCATGTCTTAATCTATAATTATGATTAATTTAAAAATAACCGGATGTAATTACAAGATGAAAATATTATATATAATTATAAATATACTTTATAAACACAAATAAATATTGCTCCATCCCGGGAATAAATGAAAAGCCAAACGAAAAATAAACAAGCCTCACAATTCAGAAAAATAGAAATTCACAGAAAATTAGAAAATATTAAATTTAAATTTAAATTCACAGAAAATCAATTAATTAAAATAATCTCAGAAAAATCCAAGTATTTTTGAAAAAAATTCTGGAAAATTAAAAGATTTTTTGCTTTAGAACAACCAAGAAGAAAATCCAAACAGAAGGAAAAATCTTGTGAATATTAAAATAAAAATAATTATCTTACAAATAAACAATAAATTAACATCTTATTATTAAACATTAAGCATAATTACTATATAAATGAAACACTAAAATAAAAATAAGCACTAAACACAAATAATCATATTAAACATAAATAAAAATAAGTATCTTATAAATACTAAAATACAATTATGTTTTTAAATATTTTAAACGATCACCTAATAATTGAACATTAAATCAAAAAATTTAAACATTAAAATTATTATAAATTACAGATTAGCATATTTCTCATGAATGCAACATTAAAATAAAAACAATTATCTTATTAAACATTAAAAATATTTTATAATGCAAACATTAAATAAAAATAAACATTAAATAAAGATAAGCATTAAAATAAAAATAAATATTAAGAATAATTATCGCAATCATTAAGAATGTTAGTAACGATAAATTAAACATTAAAAATAATTGTAAGCTTTATTAATCTTAAATAATACATTGTCTGGAAAACACATAAAATCGAAAATGAGTTTTCAAATACGAAAATAACGCAGAAACGACGGTCCACCTGAACGTTTTGCATAAAACGTTTCTTTTGCAGAATTTCTAATGCAAAAGAAAATCCAAATCAAAGAGAAAAAAAAATTCGGGAAATACATTAAAGAAAATAAAATAAAAAACTACTTGGATACATTTTTAAAAAAACCCGAAGAGTTTTCAGAAAGAAAAACTAAGTTTTAAAAAGTTTCTGAAGATAAAGTTAATAAGCTTCTTTCAAACAAAGAGAAAACCCTAAAAAGGCACAATATTCAAAGAAACCTGAAGAAAATGCAGAAAAATGATAGAAATTCACACTTTACAAAAAATAGACTCATTTCTTTACCCGGAAATAACTTTAAATCAAATAAAAAACCCAAAAAAGAAAGAAAAAAACCAAGAAAATGTACGATTTTTAAATTTTTCTGAAACACAAACCATGAGGAGCCGCAGGCCGCCGCGATCATGAATATTCATTGGCCCGCGGTGTCGCTGACGTCACGCGTTAATTGGGCCTTGCGGCTGCGCCTCCCAGGCCGCGATTCGACGATGAGCTGTCACTCCGAGCGAAAATAGGAAGTCCCGCCTCCCACTCCCGGCGCGTTTCCTGCTGGGAAGTATAGTTTCGCTGTTTAAAAACAATGTAAAGAGAAAGTGGACAGCGGAAGTGACATCAGATCCTGTACGGGCTTGCTGGAATTTGTAGTTCAGCATCGAAGCAAACGCAAGAGGAAGTCGACGGCCTTCGCGGCTGCGCAGCTTCCTGGGTCTTGTAGTTTGTTCGATTGAAATCGCGACAGGAAGTGGATGGCGGAAGTGATCGTACAGCCTCATGGGATCTTTAGTTTCCACGATCGCGGTTAAAACAGGAAGTGGAGGCGGAAGTCACCAAGCAGGCCGCGCTGGATCTGCTGGTAATTGTAGTTTAATCAAAAAAAAAAAAAACCACCTGTAGTGCACGCCGGAAGTGCCCCTACAGCTTGCTGGGACTTGTAGTTTTCGCAATCACAATCAAAAAGGAAGTGGACATCGAAATTGGCCGCGTGGCCTGCTGGGAGCTGTAGTTCCCGCAGCTGCGCTTCATGGATTGTCTCTGCAATCAAGTGGGTTATTGGGGAACCTGACGACAACAACTCGAGTACACCAGAGAAGAGAAGATAATAAAGATAATAAGATTGCGATGTATACGTTGCATATATATTTTATGCACTATAATCATAAATTAATATATATTCTATTGTTATATTATTTTGATAAATACTGTATTTTATAATATTACATTCTTGTATAATATTTACCATGTAATCATGTACAATATTTTATTATATTATTGTATATAATTCATTATATAGTTCTATAATAATATAATCTATAATCACACATAATTATGTAAGATATATGATGTATTATTTACTATTATTGCACCCATAGATTCTATGCATTTGATTTTATATTTTAATTAAGATGTAATACTCATTTTTCAGATGTTTCTAATCAAGTTTCATTCATATGTTTGATATTCATATTTTGTTCATGTTTTAATGTTTATTCATATAATTATAATATTCATGCTTCATTCATGTTTATGTTTATACTTATGTATGTTTATGCCATCATATTGATATTTTACATTATATGATTATATTATGTTATGTTATATTCATTACCTTTTGTTTTATTTTAGCATATATGATCCTATTATATAATATTACATATGATATTATGATTTTATCTCATATTTTATATGTTGTTTTAATGTCCTTTACTTCATATTATTATTGCCCAAATTTAATATGTTTATATTATTCTATTTATGTTATTTTATCCCATTTTTACAGCTGGATATTATATTTTATCTCATCTTTTATATATTATTATAACAGGATTATCTTTGTAGTATGGATATTCATTTATATTGTTTATTATATATTTACATAGTATCTATTCATTATATGTATTTTTTATTATATTTTATATTCTATATGTTTTTATATTATATATTCTCTATTTATATTACTATATCCCATATTTTCTAGATAATGCATTTTGTTGATATTATTTTATTCCATGTTTTACAGCTTTATGTCATAGTTTATAAATTATTTTATTGTGGTTATATTTATATCATTGTATCCTAGATGTTCTACCTTTTTATTATTATGTTTATGTTATTTTATCTCATATTTTACAGATTACTTTAATGGGATCTTTGCTCTTTAATGGGATCTTTGAGGACCACATATGAAGCATTGCCAAAAGACCAGTCTCCATAGCTATGTAATGATTTTATTTAATTGCAGCATCTACTCCACATTGCTATATCAACTCACATTTTTGGATGGGAACTTGTATATCATCAAAAGATTGATGGAAAAAGTGCAATCTTGGGCCCGGCTGATGCTTAGTGGTTAAAGTTCTCACCTTCAACATGCTGGGATCCCTTATGGGCACCGGTTCTAGTGCTGGTGGCCCCACTTCCAATCCAGCTCCCTGTCGGTGGCCTGGGAAAGCAGTCGAGGACGGCCCAAAGCTTTGGAACTCTGCACCCATGTGCAAGACCTGGAAGAAGCTCCTGGCTCCTGGCTTCAGATTGGCTCAGCTCCAGCCATTGCGGTCACTT